GGGCCCCCCCCCGCTCTCCTGGGAACTCTGCCCCCGTGCCTTGAAAACAGAGGTTCCCGGTGCCTGGTCTGGGCTTAAGGGCTCTGGGGATGCAGGGGCCCAGGAGAGGAGAGGAGAGGAGCCCTCACTTGGCGCAGGGGGATCAACTGCCAGCTCAGGGAAGCTGTGGCCCCTTGCGGGTGTCTGGCTGCCCCCAGCGCCGCTGCCCAGCTGGGCGGTCAGTAGGACCGGCCTAAAGAGCATCCAGGCCTGGCGAAGGTCTCGCTTAACGGCAGACAACGAAGTTCACAAACGGACAGAATTGGGTCCAGGCGGGTCCAACTGCTCGCAGCCTGCCCGGCTCCGAAAGGGCCCCGGGGCGTTGAGCCCCACTTGCGCGGAGGCAGCTTCCCTCTGAGCCCGCCCGATTCACAGGCTTCCACGTCGCCGGGCGCGCCCGGGAAAGGACGGCCTGGGCGGCGGCCCAAGCACCTCCCGGGCGGCCGAGAGGGCCAGGGGTTGGACGGGCTTAGACCGGCTCCAACTTTTGCCCGACCGACGGGCCGGGGGAGCCCATCTGGCCGAGGCCCGCAGCCGACCGGGCTCCGAGCGGCTCTTCGCTTAGCGGCATCCCGCACGAAGCGCCCGGCGTGGAGCGGCGGTTGCTGGGAGCAGCCGGGCCGGAGGGGCGATTCTGAGAAGCGCCTCTCGCCGCCCCCGCCCAATCAAGGCGCTAATGGGCGCTGCGGGGCCTTTCTGGGAAAGCGCGGCGGGCGGGGGGCAGCCGGGGGGGGGGGGAAGCAGGGACAGGCCCCGCCCGGCCGCCCGCGCCAGAGAGCGGAAGGGGGCGCCCCCCCCCAGACCTCCGCTGATTGGCTCCTGGGCCCGGCGGGGAAGCGAGCGAGGCGAGCGGGGAAGGCCGGGCGCCCCTTCGCTCCCTGGGACGCCGCACTGCGGGGAGGGGGCGGAGCGGGCGTGAGTTCCGAAAGAGCCCGGCGGGGCTCCCCCGCCTCGGGGGCCTTAAGAAAGGCCGCCTGGCTGTGGAGAATTCTGGGAGTTGCAGTCCACCGATCTTAAGGCTCCTAAGGCCGAGAAACGCCGCCCAAGTGAAGGCGGCCTTGGTGGGTTTGCTTTGCGCGGTTCCCGGGGGGTCAGCGGGGGCTGTTGCCAAGGCGAACCGTGGTTGACGAGTGAACTCAGCCGGGCCTGCAGCCCGAGAGCGCGACGCCTGCGCTTGTTTGCCTCAGAAGCGGGAGCCGGTAAACAGGGTCGCCGCTCAGCTGAGCGGAAGGGAAGCCATTAGCTCCGCCGCTGAGAGGAGGCGGCTCCCGCCCACGCGCTGCATTTGCGCTGAAAGCTTTTTAATCTGCCAACGAAGCGCCGCTCGGATGTTCTGGCCCTGCTGACATTCAGCGAAGGGCAGCGTGGAAAGGCGATTCCAGGAAACCAGAAGCTCCCAAACAGCCATTAAGAGGCACGGTTAACATGCGTCCCGTCCCCCCCGCCCCCCAAACTAATGCGGGGATGGGAAACTGACGCCAGAAATAAAACTAATGTTGTTGACCCTGATCAAAAGTTTCCTTCCGAAGAGAGAAGCTGCGGCGTCCAGCGAGTCTCTTTGCCTGCCTTCCAGCAGCTGCTGCTGCTGCCTCGCCTTCCTGCTCCGGGGAAAAACTTGAAGGTTGATCTTTATTTGGCGGTCGTTACAAGAATCTTGTGTACAACCCATGGAGTACTGTGAATTGTTTGGGGGCGTTGGGGGATGCAATCCGTTTTCTTTAGCTTAAGTCTCTGTCCCTAGAATCAGAAAACCCCACTTTGGGTGCAACCCCTTATTCAGTGAAGAAGGAGAATAACAGCACTCAAAAGAAACCCGCATGGCTGCATAAAGAACTTTCCGATAAATAGAAAAACAAAACAGACAAGTATAACAAGTGGGCAACATACTGTAAAAAAAGGCAGAATATCAGCAAATAGCCCAAGCCTGCAAAGATGAAGTGAGGAAAGCTAAGGCTCAAAATGAACTAAGTCTTGCGACAAAAGTAAAAAATAACCCCCCAAAAGCTTCTCTCAACATGTAAAAAACAAGAAAAAAGTCAAGAAAATGATTGGTCCATTAAGGGAAGAAAGTGGCAAGAAAGAGACAAGCAACAGGGAGAAAGCAGAACTGCTTAACTCGGGGGTTTTCACCTGTCTTTACATAAAAGGAAAAAACAGTCCAACCTATCAAAAGCAGTACTGTAAAAAAGAAATTAGGAATACTTGTTAAAACAGGGAGGAAAATGGTGAGCAGCTGTCTACCCTAGATGAGTTCAATTCGCCAGGACCAGATGGATTACATCCCAAGGTTCTGAAGGAACTGGCAAACATGATCTCAGGACCACTGAACTATATCTTTCAAAGATTCTGGAGACCCAGGGAACTACCAGAGGATTGGAAAAGAGCTGATGTATTTCCCCTCTTCAAAAAAAAAGAGGGGGGGGGGAGATCCAGGAAACCATAGGCCTATCACCCTGATCTCAGTACCTGGGAAGATTTTGGAAAAAAATAAGCAATGAATCAGCGAACACCAAGAGCACAGGTGTCAAACTTGTGTCATGTTGCCATTGTGATGTTTTATGTTTTTTTCCCCTTTGTGGAACTGGGATGGGTGTGGCCTGTGTATCTGGCCCACAGGTCATCAGTTTGACCCCTGGCCTAGAGGCAAACCAAAAGCCAACATGGGTTTGTCAAAAACATATCATGCCAGAGAAGTCTTATTGCATTATTTGACAAAGTGACAAAATTAGTGGACCAGAAGAATGCTGTGGATGTAGTTTACTTGGACTTCAGTAAGGGATTTGACAAAGTAGACCACAACTTGCTACGTAAGATAGCAAAATGTGAATTAAAAGCATCACCCCCAGATGGATTCCTAACTGGTTGACCAGCTGCACTCAATGTGTAGTCCTCAATGAAACTGCATCTACAGAGAGGGAAGTATGCAGTGGGGTACCTCAATGCTCTGTTTTAGGTCCAATATTCTTCAACATTTTCATCAATGATTTGGATGAGAACATCAAATTTGCAGATGACAGCAAGTTGGCAGGAATAGCCAACACTCCAGAAGACAGGCTTAAGATACAGATACTTAAAAATTGGGCACTAACAAAATGAAATTCAGTGGGGGGAGAAAGTAAGATTCTACATTTAGGCAAGAAAAACCAAATGCATAGGTATAGTATAGGTGGTACCTGGCTCAATAATAGTAATTGTGAGAGGGATCTTGGAGTCTTAGTGGACAATCACTTGAAGGTATGAGCCAGCTGTGTGCTGCAGCTGCCAAAAGCCAACACAATCCTAGGCTGCATTAACAGGAATAGAATCAAGATCACAAGTGTTAATACTACCTTATAGTGCCTTCGTAAGGCCACACTTGGAATACTGCATCCAGTTTTGATCACCACAATATGAAAAAGTTGTTGAGACTAGAAAAGAATGCAGAGAAGAGCAACAAAGATGAATAGGGGACTAGAACTGTTGATGGAATTGGGTTTAATTCTAGTTTAATGAAAAAGGACTGGAGGGACATGATTAGCAGTCTTCCAATATATTTGAGAGGCTGCCACAGAGAAGAGGGAGTCAAGCTATCCCCCAAAGCACCTGAGGGCAGGACAAGAAGCAATGGGTGGAAACTAATCAGGGAGAGAAGCAACCTAGAACCAAGGAGAAATTTCCTGACAGAGCAATTAACCAGAGGAACAACTTGCCTCCAGAAGTTGTGAATGCTCCAACACTGGAAGTTTTAAAGAAGATGTAGGATAACCATTTCTCTGAAATGGTATAGGGCTTCCTGCCTGAGCAGGGGGTTGGACTAGAAGACCTCCAAGGTCCCTTCTTACTCTGTTATTCTGTTATCCACATGTTGGAATTAAAATGTTACCAAGGGACCGTACTAGACCACCTCCCTGGGCTGGGTCATTCTGAGCTAAGCAAGTGGGGAGGGGGGTTTCCTGTCTCTGGGTAATCGGCTCCACTTCTCAAGGGCTCTTTTACACTTTGGAGCCATTTCCAACATTCCTTTGGCATCTGGCTCTCTATGCCTTAAATCTACTCAGCCTTGCCTCCACCCTGGGCTGAAAGAAGACCTCAAGTACATGAATAAATCTTGTGGGTGTCTGAAAAAAGCCGTGCTACCCCTCCCTGTCTGCAAGGCAAATTTTCCCCTATTCTTTCCACCTCTCATTACCAAATTTAATTTCAGATCTCCTGATCTCTTTTTGCTTTTTAATAAGCCTAGTATCCCAGCTTCTTGAATGCTTCTTAAAGCCTCCCAAATGGATTTGCTAGAGATGAGGTGAATCCTTTGAGTGAAAGACTTCTGGTGATTTTGGAGTTTATATTTCTGTTGAGGCAGCCTGAACTTGCATTTTCCCTTTTTTAAAACCACAACTTCAATTTACCATCAACTAACATATTTTCCCAAATATCATTAGGGAGGCAGACATTTCTCACTGTGTGTTTGACATTTATTCGTTAAGTGGGGCGATTTGCGCTATTCAATTTCATTCATTCATGCCTATTGCTCCATTCAATCTTGATCATTCAGAATTGTATTTCTTCTAGGGAAGTCGCTCTTTTCACTTTTTATAACCTGAAGATTTTGGGAGTATCACCGGTGCATTTTTGTTCAAGCCACGGAAGAGTTGGGAGGCTTGTGGCACCAGGCTTGACGGTCTTCAGCCTGGCTCCCCAAAGTTCCTTTTCCCTCTAGACTGCAGGAGGAGAGCCGAGGGGGTGGCCAAAGATCAGAACCCTGCTAGATGGTGGCTGGGATCCCCCTTGGGGACCTTATTAGAATGCAATAAAATATATGTAAAACGAGCTGTCAGACTCAGCCGGGACCTGAAAGAGCCGCCAGGCCAAGTTCCCTCTGGGGCACAGACCGAAGAGCCTCCGGTTCTCCATTCCGGAAAGGAGGGACGGACGGATTGAAAAAGCCCCCGGGTCCTGGCCGCCTTCGGGGAAAGGCTCCGCCGTTGGTGAGGCAGCGCGTCCTCGGTCCGAAACGAGCGCCTGGAGCTGCTCGCTCGGAGCGGCGCGGAAGAGCCGCCGGGAAATGTCCCTTTAAGTGCCCGGGAGGAGCGCTCCGGGTCACGAGAAGCCGCTCCGTGCTCGCGGGGGAGATTTTCCGGCGGAGCCGATCCTGCGCCCGCCCGCCTTCCGTCCTGCCCCGGGAGAAGCGCCGCCCGCTCCGGCCTCGCCGCCGCCCGAGCCCGACTCGCCGCTCGCCGGAGCAGCGCTGCCCAGCCGGTAGGCCCGCGCCGAAGCGGTGGCCGAGAGCGGCGGGCCCGGGCCTGGCGGCGCCGCGCGGGCCCGAGCGATGGAGGGGCAGATGGCGGGGCTCTACGACCTGGGCCGCCGGCTGGGCCGGGGCCACTTCGCCGAGGTGCGGCTGGCCCGGCACGTCTTCACGGGCGAGCGCGTGGCCGTCAAGGTGATCGAGAAGAGCCGGCTGGGCGGCGCGGCGGCGGCGCGGCTGCGGCGGGAGGTGGGCTGCATGAAGCTGGTGCAGCACCCCAACGTGGTGCGGCTCTACCAGGTGCTGGAGACGCCGGCCCGGCTCTACCTGGTGCTGGAGCTGGGCGACGGCGGGGACCTCTTCGACCTGCTGACGCGGCGGCCGGGCGGGCTGGAGGAGGCGCAGGCCAAGGGCTACTTCGCCCAGGTGGTGCACGCCATCGCCTACTGCCACCGCCTGCACGTCGTGCACCGCGACCTCAAGCCCGAGAACGTGCTCTTCTTCCAGCACCAAGGGGTGGTCAAGCTCACCGACTTCGGCTTCAGCAGCTGCTTCCAGCCGGGCACCATGCTGGCCACCAGCTGCGGCTCCCTCGCCTACTCGGCCCCTGAGATCCTGCTGGGCGAGGAGTATGACGCCCCCGCCGTGGGTAAGGAGAGCCCTAGGCCTCTCGGCCGCGCCAAGGAGGGGAGGCAGCGCCAAGCCTGCAGCAGGCCCGGCCCAGCCGAGGCCTGGCAGGATGTCGCTGCTCCCACGGGGAATGGGGGTGCTGGGTGCTCCGGCTGCCAGGCCTTGACCTTGGGCCGCCGAGGCTCCGGGGAACTCTGGGCATCGTCTCCGGCTCGAATGTCTCTTGGCTCCTGGCTGACATGACCCACAAGCAACACTCGGAGGGAGCCAGAGAAGTTCCAGAGGCCTAAAGCCGCCTTTGACCCTGTGCGGGAGGGCTGGGCTGCCTGACCGGTGGATAGCCCTGGTGCCCCTGCCGCAGCAACGGTGGTCCACCTGGGCCCGGATGGAATCCAGGAATTTCTTTGGGTTGCTGCTGTTCAGCGGGAACCACTTAGGGAGAAGCAGGACAGAGCAGCCAGCCGTTCCTTTCTAAACCTCTTAAGAGGACTAGCAGTTTCTAATGGCTGAAGTCTGTTCAATGTCCTCTTCCCCAGTCCCTTCCATGGTGGCCCATGACGACTCCTGCCTCCCTTTCTTGTTTCTCTCAGGTCCGTTCTCTGACCATGAACAAGGAGATGCTTTATCGCATTTGTGTCAGAGCGATCCCTTTTATCAGCCCTTGGTCTCAGGATCTGTTGGCAGATCTTCTTCTCTAGCGATCCAGAGAAAAAATGGGAGACTAGGGGCTTCACACAAAGAGGTTTTAAAAACTCCCTGGTGCAAGAAAACCACATACTATCTGCACCATCCCTATTTTAGGCAGAGGAGAGACTGGCCCGTTGGCTGGGGAGCTCCTGGAAATGGTGAAAAGGAGCACCTGTGGAGGAGGAGGGGGTTGCCACTAACAACTCTGCTGTACTAGTTTAGTTCCCATATTTTTTGTGGGGGGGGGGGGAGTTTGGAGTTTACCATGGGTGTCATCCCTGTAGGATGCTGGGAGCCTTGAAGGGTTTGACAACATGTACATTTGATCAATCAACCTGGATAGTTGAGGGATTAACTAGAGAACAAATGTTATTCCGGGTGATTTTGTTCCCCCAAACTGGAACAGACAGAATTCCTTGGCAGATAAATCCCTTTCCCATGTCATTCTTGTAGCCTGTCATCTGTAAATCCCCTTTCAACCCTGTCTCAATCTTGTCAGTCAGAACCTGTTCCTTTTCCGTAACATCTTTTAGATACAGTCTCTCCATAGAAGCAGATGGCTCTGTTGAGGCTATTACAGATAATTTATGAATCCATCATTCAGAAATATCCTTTAATATGACATGGAAAAAGATGTTACATTGGACATACAAGAGAAGCTGGCTGACGAGTTAACAATTAATTAAAATGGATTTATAAATAACAAACCAAGGACATGACCTGGATAATTTTCTTACATTGGAGTTACAAAAGAAGATTGTTAAAGCGTTGAAGAATTTTGTGAGAAGGGAGAAAAAGAAAAAAGAAATCAAGTTCTACAATATTAGTTTAATTGACTAAAGATTGTTAGAAGTGGAATGAAGGAAGGAATATAATAGTGGTTTATTTGATCAAGGTTGACATAAATATGTTATTTCTAGTAATTTTTAATGAAACCAGCAGAACTGAAATGATGATGCTTTATGGATTTGTTTATAGATAAAAAATCCAATATTGGAAGAAGAGATAATTTGATGTCTTTTTAGATAAGATGATAAAGCTATTTCCCGTGTTAATCCCATTTTTAAAAATTGATATTCTAGAAAAGCTTACAAAGTGTCATCTTTAGCCATCCTGGATCTGCATCTGGTAAATTTTCTGAATTAAAATTGGAACATTTTTACACAATTGGAATCCTCAGCCAGATCAGCCAAATGGACGGATCCATTTGATTCCTTAACTGAAATTGAGAAGACACTACGTGATTCCAGTGTGGAACTGGGTCTTTGGTGGTTGAGCCTCAGCAAAATCATCTCCTTCAAACTCTTTTCATGGGGTGATGTTGCAACGGAGAACTGGCCCTTCTCCCTGCCGCTGAGTCCTCGGAGAGTGTGCGGTGCTTGAAGCTGAGCATAGAATCCCAGGGCTGGGAGAGACCCTGGAGGCCTTCTAGTCCAGCCAGCAGGAGAACTTAGGCCATTTTAGACAAAGGGCTGTCCAATCCTTTCTTAAAACCTCCCGCGTTGAAGAACCCAGAACTCCAGGAGACCAGCCATTCCATTCTCACAGCCAGTGAATTTCTCCTGACATCTGGGTTGGACCTCTTTAATGATCTTTCCCCCAGCCACTCCTTGTCCTGCCTTTCCGGTGCTTTGGAGAACAAGTCGACTCCCTCTTCTCTGTACTGGGAGACTTTTATCATATCACCCCAACCCCAGTGCTAGATACCTAGCTCCCTTAACCATTCATCGTATGGTTTGGCCTCTGGATCCCTTATCGTCTTTGTTGCTCTTCTCTGCATTCTTTCATTTTTTTGCATCATGGTGACCAGAACTGTGGCCTCACTAGTGCAGTGTAAAGAAATACTTACGGTTCATGTGCTCTTGATACCCTTGTTGATGCATCCCAGGACTGCACTGGCCTTTTTGGCAGTTGCAGCACACGACTGGCTCCTACTTAATCAGGAGTCCACTAGGACTCCTAGATCCCCCCCACCCCAGTTGCTATTGTTCAGCCAGGTACCATTTATTCTATTTAGTCAGGTGAGTCTGACTAAAACCAAAGCAAGTGGGACATAGGCTTAACTGTGATTTGGAAACCATATTAATGCAGCAGCCCCAAATGATGTCATTGTAATGGCTTATGTTCCATTTGCAACCCAGCCATACCCTTTTTTTTTTCATGTATCACCATCTTACACCTTTACATTTGACTTTTGTTTCAATGTGCAATTGTTGTGTCTGTCTTTCAAAGCAAAGAAATTTATCCTGACCATATTTCAAGCTTTAGCTGTGACCTCAACTGCTTCTTATAATAGCCTGAAAACCGAACCAAAATAGAATTTGAGTAGCTGTTTCCATTACTTGCTAGCATTTTGTCTTTTTCATTTGAACAGCTGATACTGTTTCTTGTTTCATTTGAAGGTATCTAAAGAAATTCTCTTTGTTATTTTTACTATGATTTGCCCACCTTCAATTCATTCTACACCTTTGTTTTCTACACTTCCAAGGTAACTACACGTCTTTTTACTTGGTGATTTAGCTATCTGTTTCCTTACATTTTGATTTCCAATTTTTCCATTTTCTCTCATTGTTACATTCTTACAACTGAAAGTGATTCCTAAATTCTTTTTAAGAATTCTCACTTCTTTTGACTTCTTTTCTACATTAGCTTTCTCTGCCATGAGGAAGGGTTTATAAAATCTGCTTCTCTTGATATTTTAAAAAGGTGCCCAGCTACTGAGTTACAGGTTCCTAATCTCAAGGCTTTCTTCAGCGCCCCCAATAGTTCATAACACATTTCTATCCCACGCTGTTAAGCCCTTCATAATATTGGTGGTAATATTGGTGGTTTGGAGCAGGGGTCTCCAACCTTGGCACTTTAAGACTTGTGGATTTCAACTCCCAGAGGAGTTGAAGCCCACAAGTCTTAAAGTTGCTAAGGTTGGAGACCCCTGGTTTGGAGGATTTGACTGGCATACAAATAGGACATCAGCCTTGAGTCCCCTGCGGAACAGAGTTTGCATTTGAAGTCAGTGGAATAAGTGGATTTGATTTGACGACTTTAGGGCAGCAGCGGGGTCCTTCTGCAGCAGGGAGCTGTGAAGGGGAAGAAGAGAGACACGTTGGAGGGCTGAGCCCAGAGGTTGGGGGTGGGGGGGTGGGGGCTCCTGTTCAGCCCAGTTTCCTCTTTTTCTTCTCTCTTAGATATCTGGAGCTTGGGTGTCATCCTTTACATGCTGGTCTGTGGACATCCCCCTTTCCAGGAGGCCAACGACAGCGAGACCCTGACCATGATCCTGGACTGTCGCTATGTGATACCATCAGGCGTCTCCGTCCTGTGTGCAGAGTAGGAGCCCCCTCCTCATTTCCTCCCTCTTTGTCCGTGCCTTTTTCCTTGGGAAGCAGCCTCAACCTCCCTGCCTATTTGGCTCATAGCATAGAGACGTGTGGGCAAGGGTCAGCAGGACCCCGCCCCCCAGGTGCTCTTGAATTATTGCCACATTTCTATGCCTCCCAACCACTTTGGGTGATTCGCCCCAATCAAAGAAATTACAACAATCCCAATTAAAAGGCAGGGGAAAAAAGACGGCAAGCGTGGCAGACCAAATGGGACAAGGCCAGGGGACTGGGGGAAGAGGGGGGTCTTCATGATTCCTTGTAACTAGAGCAGACGAGGGGAGGGGGGTGTATCCAGATCACGGGCGGCAGGACTCGCCTTGGAGGGCAGGCACTGGGACAGAGAAGGGACACTCACAGAGTCCCAAGAGGTAAGGGGAAGGAACCCGACAGGTGCCTGTTCTGCAGGCTCAAGTCAGCCAGGAAGATACTATGGGAGATGGACAGTAAGTAACCAGGCCTTTTGCCAGGTAGGGCTTCGAGAGTAACGACTAGCACCTTGCATTGCACCTAGAAGCAAGCTCACCAGTGGTGCAGCTTCACAGAAAAGGAGTTATGTCGTCATAGGTCTAGATGAGGTGGGGGTGGCACATATCCAATAAGTAAGTACATAAATAGAGAGAGAGATAGGAATACGGAGGCGTGCCTGTGCTGCTGCGTTCTGGACCAGTTGACGCTTCCAGGTGTTCTTCAAGGGCAGCCTTAGATAGAGCGTGTTGCAGTAGTCAAGCTGTGAGGTGGCTAGCGTGTCTGAAGGGTCCTCCCTGGTACAGGAAAGGCTGCAGTTGGCACCCCTTTCTTTTCACCCTTGAGCGCTTGGAGGGAAGGATGGCTTGGCAATATAGCGCCTTACCTATCTTTCTTTTTGCCCTCCCCGCTGCTCCTCTTTCCCCGTGGGAGGAGGCCCTCTGAAGTTGGACCAGAACTCACAAGGTGACAGTTCAGCCACAGGGTCTGGGCTCTGGCCTAATCGCTCATGGTCGAGGGGAACAGATCTGTGCCTGGATGAGCGGTCTGCTGGTGGCTCTTCTGCCTTCCCTGGGAGACTTCTGAGCCACGCAGGGTTTGTGCTGAGCCCAGGAACATGGATGGTGGCCCAGGAATAAGGAGGGGGCTCCCCCTTCTGCCTGGGCTCTGCCTTCTGCTTGGGGTTTCTGAAGAGACGTGGATTGGGAGCGGGGAGAGCAGGGCCTGGCGGGGCAGCGGCTGAGTCCCTCTCCTTCTTCTTTGCCCAGCCTTATTGCCCAGATGCTGCAGCGGGACCCCAAGCAAAGGGCCTCCTTGGAGCTAATTGAAAACCACCCGTGGCTCCAGGGGGTGGACCCCTCCCCAGCCAGCCATTCTCTTCTGCCGCTGACGTCGCACCGGAGGGTTTTGGAGGAGGAGCACGAGGTCATCATCCAGACCATGATGTGCGGCCACATTGCAGACCGAGAAACCATCCAGGAGTGAGTGAGGGTCCGGGGTGGGCGTTGGCACAAATCACTCTGGTTGGTTCAGGAAGGCTGTGCATGGGGAATGTGATTTGGGCGCAGGCATCACGGGAGAGCTTTGCTGGCTGATCATTTCGATCAGGTAGATGTTTGGAGGCCTCCTTAAGGCTCGAAGGTCAAAAGTGGCTTCTGACTGTGAAACGTCAATTGTAGTTTTGAAATGGACATAAATAGGTAATCCTTGGTTAATGACCACTCATTCAATGACCATTTGAAGTTACAATGGTGCTGAACAGGTGATACTTAAGACCGGTTCTAGAAATTGTAGCTGTCCCAGCACCCCTGCATTCACGTGGCTGCCAGTTATGACATTCTCTGCCAACTTCCCAGAAGCAAAATCAATGGGAAGTTGGCAGAGAAAGTTGCATGTTGCTCCCACTGTTTTTCCCCCTGAGGAGTCGTGCTACAGAGTGCAAAATCCTGGAGAATCCATGCATGTACTCGTGCAGTGGAATCTCTCCCCAGACTGTGTGCCTCACTCACCCTTCGGCATGCTTGCAAGCCACCAGGACTTGTAACTCCATACAGGCTTCCCCAATGACTTTGTGGAAAGGTGGCTGGAAGTTGCAAGTACTTGGTAGTCACATGAGGTTCTCACTTAACAACCCATGGTTTTTATTTATTTAGAAAATGTATATTGTTGCCTACTCACAGATGGCCACTCAAGGTGGCTTACAGGACATAAAAACACAATATAAAATAAATAACAACAACACCCACCCACCCACCCCTGGTGGCAACACACATTCATGCCAGCCCCGATCCTTGCTTAATGGCAGCAACAGAGACTGCAGGATTGCCATAAGCAATGTGGTCACATGACCTCATGCTTCACAACGACATTGCTTGGTGATAGAAATTCCAGTCCCCGTTATTGTCGTTAAGCAAGGACTACCTGGTTAGGTAAAGCTTACATTCCCATTTGCCTATAGAGAGAAAAGTGAATCTGCAGCCATGTAAGGTGTTGGTGAACTATAGGAGCCAGGAGCCCAACCTCCCTGGCTAATGGCATGCCGTGCTGTGGATTCCAGCTCAGCAGCTTCTAGACAGCCATGGGGTCCCCATTCCTGGCTCCAAACATGGCACACAGCTTGCCCAAATCTGTGATCCCATCACTGTGGCCTGCAACCGGAGAACCGGTCCCCAAACTGTCAGGTTCCTGAATCCAACAGTGAGTAGGTTGGACAGAGCCGCAGAATAAGTGAAGATGTTCGGTCTCCTGCACCCAGTTATCTGTCATCAAACACGCACCTGTACCCAAGGTGAGGCTGGTTGGTGTTCCAGGTGTGTTTCAAGCCCATAATTCAGGCAGCTGGACTTTATGGGCCAAGCTGCATATAGAAACAGACTTTTGTTCACTGAAGAGGTTCTTAACTTAGTTTGTGTTGTGAAGGCATTGAGGGCTGGGGCAGTCTGGTAAACAGCTGGTTGGGGGCAATCGGTCAGTTACTGGGCAGGCCTGAAAGCGAGCAGAGCCTCGGGAGTCTCTTCCTGTGTCCATGCCTGACTCTTTCTGCCTGGCATCTCCCTGCAGAGCCCTGGAGGCCAAGCGCTACAATCACGTCACTGCCACCTACTTTCTGCTGGCTGAACGGATTCTGCGCGAGAAGCAGGAGAAGCAGAGCCTGGCGGAGCAGCTCCAGAGCAGGCAAGTCCCCCTCAGCCCTTCCAGCCTTGGTCTCAGCCAGCCGGGGGGATCCACACCTGCTCACGCTCTTTGCTCCTCCTTCTTCCTCAGGAGCCCGCCAGGCGAGTCCCGCCTCCCTCAGCCCACAGAGCTGCCCCCAGCCACCAAGAGCACCCTGGAGAACGTCGCTGCGGAGTACGCCAGGAAGCCTCTCCTGTCCCGCTCGGCCTCAGGCGAGGGCAGGTCCTCTTCCAGCTTCCATGGATGCGGGCAGCCTCTGCGGGCCCTCATCCAGCCCTCCCTCATGGAGACAGGCATCGCCAAGAGCACCCTGGCCCTGCAGCAGATTTCAGAGGAGGAGGAGGAGGAGGAGGAAGAGGCAGAAGGGAAGCCGGGCCTCTCTCGAAGGCGGACCTCCTCCTTGAACCAAGAGCAGATGAGCCGCTTCCAGAGCACCGCATCATCCCTGCTTTTCTGCCGGGGCCTTGCAGCCCACTACAAAGCGGGCAAGAGCCTCCTCCCTTCACACGCCAAGTCCTCCTGCCCGGAACAAGGGCCTGGGACGGCTCCAGCGGCTCCAGGGGAGCAGGCGTCCCCCAGCAGCCAGTCAGGGGCAGGCCGAGCCCCCCAGACAGAGGAGCCGGGTGGCCGCCTCGGCTTGCAAGCGGGGAGGAGGCCTGCTGAGCCCCCCGGGGAAGCCACCCCACTAGGCAGTCATGGAGGGGGCCCTGCCAGACCAGAGGTGGCACCGGGCCGAATCGAGCCCCTCCTGGCAGAGGAAGAGGAGCAGAGCGACCTCCTTCCAGCGAGAGGAGGAGATCCTGTCGAGGGGGAACTCTCGGGGGCTGGGGAGGAGAGCCCCCAGCCCCAGAGCAGCACAGCTCTCCTGCAGGGTGGCGGTGCCCCCGGAACCACTGGAGCCGAGGTGGGGCCAGGGGCGGAGGGCAAGGGCCTCGAGCTGGGGCCGCCCCACGGGGCCAAGGCCTGCTGCGATGGCCAGAGCAGTGGCAGCGGCCACGACAGCCTCGCCGACAGCATCATCAAGCTGGACCCGGCCAAAGGCAAGAACGCTAACCTGAAGGATCGGCTCCTGCAGTTCCCGCTCTGCGAAAAGGCCCTGGCCTTCCGGATGCAGCCCAGCTCCAGGGAGAGCCTGCTGTCCTTGGGGCAGTTCAACTGTTGCCACGTCATCTAGGCCCGCGAGGGGGAAGAGCAAGGAGAGCTCAGGCGGACCTCCGAGGGAGAGCAGGGCAGCGGCAGAGCCCGGTTGCCAAGGTCCGTGCTGGCTGGCTGCCTCCTCTCAGGAGGGGCTTCCTGCGCGAGAAGCCGGCAGCTCCCAGCACCCCCACACCAGCCTTTGGCCGGGGCGTTTCCCCTCACGTCCCCCTGCACCCACAACTTCTGACACAAACCCTCTCCCTGGTCTGTGGTGGAGGAAGCCTTTGGCTCACTCTGGAGGACTTGGAAATTGGGAGGAAGCCAAGGCTGTGCTCCTCCGAGTCAGAAGGGAACTTGGGGTGTCTATGGGCCCTGGAGGTCTTGGAGAAGCATTTCCAGGAGATGCAGGATCTCTCCAGGCCTCTGCAGACCTCCGACTTTAACTTAAGGTAACCGGCCTACAACTCCCGGGTTTTTTTTACCCCAGGCAGGCAGTGGGCCTGACTTTCCCTGGCAGAGCCCCGGCCATCTCCCCCTTGTGGTGCCTCCAGGCCGGGGAGGTCAGGCACCCGGCTAACGTCTCCATCAGGAGCTGTGGATGAGCTGGCAGCTGTGGAGGGAGGGAGGGAGGGCCTTGTTCCCTTCTCTCTGGCTGTCCTCCCCCCCCCCCCCCCCCCCCCCAGGCAGAGCAGTGGGCCTCCTCCCTTTCGGGGCCCGCTCTCTTTCACTCCCCCAGCTTCAGGTTTGGGAGCGTAGCCACTTCGAAGCCCAGCTCACTCCTGGACCCAGGACCGGGCTGGGGAAAAAGTGTAAGCGTGGCAGAGCCAGATTGGGGACCTGTGCAGGTGAGAGCAGGGCAGGTAAGTGTTCATTGCTAAGTCCCCACACCTGGACTGGGGCTCTTCAGCAAGAGACGGTGCCACTCGGCTTGGTCGGCTCCTGCCCTCCTTCCTGGCCCCAGCCTCTGGGGGACGATGAGCCCTTTGGCCAGGCCTCTGCTGCTGCCGCCGCTGCTTCCTCCGCCCCGCGCTCTCTGCCCCGGCTGCCAAGCAGCGAGTGGGTCTTCCCAAAGCACCGGGGCTCTCTTAACCCCAGGGCAGCTTTTTGTAGCAACTGAGGTATTTTAGCATATTTTAAGGTTTATCACCTAGCTGGGGTTGGCCCTAGGTGGCCAACCTACCTTCTTCCCAGCATGAGCCAAGCTATCGTGTTGCCCTCCTTTGCCTGGCTCGGAAGGGCCTTGCTGGGCAGAAGAGGGCCCTCCCCTGCTCAGCCTCCTGGGCTCTGCGTTTCTCCCCCGTCCTGTCGCCTGCGCCCAAACTCCCCTCCCCTCCCCGAGGCTTCCGGGGAAAAGCAGCTCTCGCTCTCTGTATTTATCCTCTTGCTGGCAAGGAATGGATTGTGGGGGTTGGGGTTGGGGAAGGGGCTGAGCTCTTGGGAGTTCTGTGTCACGTGCACTGATGGGATCGAAGGGAAAGCAAGGCCAACCCAATAAAATGATCACTCTGGATCCCAAAGCAACTTGTGGCTCCTTGTCAAGAAAAAGCGGAGGATTTCACCCAGTGGGTTGGTACCACTGAGCCTGGCTGTGCAGGCACATCAGGCCTCGCTCTGCAGGCCAGCCGAGAATCCCCCCCCCCCCCGGGCATTCAGCTCCCTCGACTGTCACGGTTCCAAGTAAAGACCCATTGCAAGCAAGCAAGAACTCCAGGGCAGGAGGATTCCTCAAGGAATAGCTGCATGGGAAGCATAATATTGGCTGGCACACATCTGGTGAAAACCAACTCTTGGTCTTCGCCTAATTAAAAAGTAAACGCTTCCCCCCCAACCCCAACCAATCAGTCACGTGGCCCAGTTACCAAGAGAAAGTATTTTATTTTGACTACGCAAGCCCAGCTCTCTCTATTCCCCGCTGGCAGCACTGAGGCCCCAAGATGGCTTCACCCAGGTCAGCCTGAGGGTGGACGGAGGCCTTCATTTGATCCGCCAGAGCCAGGCAGCTTTGGGGGCTCCTCTGCCTTTCCCACCTACAACCCCAGAGGAGCCTTTCGAGGGAGATCTCCAGCCAGGGGGGCTTTTTTGACTAAACTTTCCCTTGTGGGGGCAGCCGCAGACTAGAGGCCTTCTCGGTGGTTTCTCAGAAGAGCAAAAGGCCTCCCTGTTCCACCTGCCTTTCATTTGGCAGCGGAGGGAGGAAGCTTTGAACTCGCTGCAGTGTCTGCTGTATTGAAAGCCCCTTGTTCTGATGGTAAATTGTCCTTTGAACCTCAAGAGGGTAAGACAGCTGCACTGGGAGGAAAAGCTATACATGGAGATCCAGTGGTGGAAATAGGTCGTTGGCCTATTCTCTGCCAGTCAACCTTTTGACTGAATTGTCCCAGGGGTTTCTTGTGGGAGGCTTTGGTTGTGGGAAGGAGGCTGTCTCAGGCTGGGTGGGTTCACTAGAAGCCATGCCTGTTGCTCCACAGGAAGGCCGAAACCTGGGGAATATCTGTCTTCCCTTGGCCATCAGCTGGTCATGCCTCCAAGCATCCTGGGGAGGTCTGCCGTATCCACCTGAGGCTTGAATGCTGGGATTGATGTGGGCCCTGGGCTTCAATGCACCACTGAGGGTTCTTGAGGGGACCCAAAGGACCGAGAAGTGCCTCTAGCCAGCCCGATTCTTGTAGGGTCAGAAGCTCTTGGGAAGCCCACCAGCTGGAAAAAACCCCACTTCTCTCTGTCCCAAAGCTGCTTTTTCAAGAGGCAGCTGGTCTTTCTGGTTTTTCTTTGAAGACTTTTCGCTTCTCATCCAAGAAGCTTCTCTTGAAAAAGCACCTTTGGGACAACCATCACCTGGACGACTGAGAATCTCCATAGCCTCTGGTTCTTGCCCAGGACTATACGTAGCTACGTCTGGGATGCTGACAGTTTCCTAGTTGAAACTATGGTTTGAGTCTGTCCGTGTGTGAGAAGATTAAGGAGTTATATATATTTGATTGCTTTTTCCCACGAAGGCTCTTGGTTGCCTTTCACCTGGGCATTAGTTAGAATTCAGACTCTGGTGCATAAGCTCTCAGTGTACATACAAAGGGATAAGTCGTAGATCATAAATCAAAAAGACAATAATAAATCATAAGATAAAATGATTGATTAATCATAATATACCAGGAAGCAATCCAAACCCAGTAATTTTTCTTGGGCTCTCTGTCACTCCATGACTCCGAGATGCAGGGATTCACACCAAGCTACAATCCAGTTGAAAACAATATCCCAATCATTTAATTACCAAGTAGAAAACCATATCTTCACCAACAACTGGCAGGGCAAACTACATAAACAAGAGCAAACCCCACACGCCCTTGCACTGAAGATACTATCTGGTTGGGTTATGAAAAGTCTGGAGGCAAACAACCCAGCTCAGAGAGCACCAGAGGCCCCAAAGATTATAAGGGGTTATATGGACATCATGGTATCTGATCAACCACCATCTAGCACTTTTCAAGTATGTGTAGAATTGCTTGTGAAAATATATACCATGACCTAAGATTAGTTTCCTCACCAGGGCACAATAACATCTACGTAGAAGATTGCAGGCCAATTAAGTTGCTTACTTCAAGGTAGCCTGAGGAGAAATACTACAGATAAGCCATCAGTCATAGCAAGTTTTGCTGGTAAAGAATCGCATTTTGCTTTCCTCCCTGCTAAAGAATGCCAAAAATACATGTGCAATATTTGGGTGGCTGTGATGTCAAAGGCAGGTAAGAATATCTCAGCAGATTTATATAAACTTGAGCATACTACACAAGTTTTGGTTTAATAAAAATTAGTAAAAAAACCCAAACCCAATATTACAGAACTGGATTAATGTTCAAAAAGAGCAAACAAAACTTGAGCAATTCCATTATGAAGAAACACTGTGATACAAGATTGTTGTTTAACTGAAAGACTCCTGCCAGGCTATTTTGTGAAGGACAAATGTGGTCACGAGCCTAAAGCACTTCAAGTTTCTTGTTTTTTTGTTGTTATTTTGTGCTGATCTGGTGCCTGTCTGGAGTTTCCCTCACAAGGTTCTTTGGAAGAGGTTTGCCATTCAGCCCCTCATTCCTGGGGGCTGAGAGAAAATGGTTGGCCCAGGGGTACCCAACTGGCTTTGTGCCTTTGTGTCCTTTGTGGGACTCGAACTCACAGCCTCCCAGTTTCTAGCCTGATGCCTCAACCGCTCCACCAAACTGGCTCTTGTAGGCCCGGAAAATCCTGGAAAGCTTGACGTTCCAAAGATTTGAGGCCTAGGTAACTAAAAGTTTAAAATACGTACCCAAAGTCTTTAGCAGGACTAATGGATAGGAAGAGGCATTCTCCTGCTAAAGATGCCACCAATGGAAGCCTGAGAAGGAGGCCTTTGCGTGTGTTACAGGGCATAGCTACCAGAACTCTACATAGTGCTGAAGAGATTCCAAAAACTTCGCTTTTGGAAATAAAAATGACTGTGGAGTTTTTGAAAAGCAATTAACAATACTGCTGTACCATTTCAACAAATCTTGGTAAAGATCTATGATAATAAAAGGCCAAACATACCTTCTGCATACAGTAGCAAATTATATCTATTCCTGTAGCACGATTACCTTGGATATCCCCAGACTGTGTCATTAAACATACTAAAGGTTCTAACGCTAAATTAAATATTGAACAAGAGAGGGAACATTGGCGTGTTCCACATTTCCTGTGTTTACATAAGAGACAATCTTATTAGCCTCTCAAAGGATTAAAACAATATTGTTTTATACAAGGAATTATTTATATTAAAATCCACTTTGCAAATTCCAAATAAAAAAGCTTGCACCATATTGAAATAAAAACAAAAATATATTACAGTATTAACATTCAAATAATCTAATATTAACAGAGATTTGATGGCATTTCATGAAACCAGGTTGTGCTGATAATTTATTGAAGGTAATGCCTTCTATAATTTTGTACCAGATTAGCTTCCACATTTTATATCAGATGATAGATAATTCAGAAGATGCTTCTCATTTTCAAACTAGCTGTGTAGGGGCTCATGGAGTAAAGTGGGTAGGATCCATTTACGAGTACAAATCTGGAATAATACTTCCATGATTTTGGGGAATCCCAGTCAAATTAATCAACCCCATAATTAATCGGCCTTAAACCGGTCAGTCAACATCTCATTCAGCTCATATTCTGAGGGAAGGATGAAAGCCAGGCCCATATCCTTGTTCTCTGTCTTGCCTGAGTCTTTGAATCCGATGGTCCCATCAAATCATCAAACCAGCTTCTAGTCCAGGGATCTTCAAACTTGATAGCTTTAAGACGTGGACTTCAACTCCCAGAATTCTTCCTCCAGTCCTGTTAGCTCAGGAATTGTGGGAGTTGAAGTGCACAAGTCTTAAACTTGCCAAGTTTGAAGACCCTTGTTCTAATCAGTTTATTTCCCAGGCAAGGGATTGCCCATTTATAATGACAAATGTTCAGTTCACAAGGAGTGATAGAAATCTCAAGCATGCCTGAAATTCTGCCTCATTCACTCAGCAAGGAAGGTGCCCTTGAAACAACCCTGTGTGGGAGATTGTGCTGCGTTTGGCAGTGGCTGGATCGGCTCCGCTGGTTGTGCCAGGAGACGAGCCAGCTGAGGGGATTCATTCCAGCAGCTTTCAG